TTGGGAAGCCCATGCTGGTGCTCCAGTCTCTCTGCTGCCCCACCAAGGGGCTGGAACACACAAAAATCTACTAGCCTGGACCCTGCCTAGGCTATGGTGTGCGAGGGGAATGTGGGGGGGGGAGTGCCTTTTTCCTCAGAGGCAACCCCAGTAGGGTTGGGGGTTTTTTGTTCGTTTTCGCTTCTCACATCTGTGCAGCCCTGGCAGATTTTTCTGTAGGTCAGAGCCTCCCCCCCCCCCCCCCCCACCCCCCTTAGAAGGTAGCAACCAAGCATTTAAGATACCTTAAAAAGCATTCAGTTATTCACTCTTCTTTATGGTTAACTAAAATTCATATTGCAATTATTTTCCCTTTAAAGAATGGATAACTAACCATAGAGTACATAGAGGGTCAATGCATTAACTACAATCTAATCTACAGGTGATTGGTTATGTAGCCTCTAGAGAAATAATTATTTAGGAAAACAAAATTTCTTTTTCTGTCTATTGCTTAAGAATAATCCCAACAAAAAAAATTTGTATGTTTAGTCCAGTTGACCTTTAGATCAATTGCAGAGCAGAATGAAAAGTTTCTCAGTTAGAAATCTTCCATAACTTTGGTCAAGTCCACAAAAGTTTAGCAGCTGGACAGGATTTTTAGAAGAACTATATGCTAATCAATAATATTCAAATTAAGATCTAAATACTATGCTATCTACAGCCATAGAAGAAGTGAAGCATTTCTACCTCTCCACCCAAAAGACTTCCGCTGTGTGGCTGTGAACAATGAACAAAAAGCTGATTTTAGAAATGAAAGAATAGATTCGCCATTTGTTTACAAAAGATAAAGCACCAACTGTTTTCTTCTCCACTGCAAATAAAGTATTGTATCACTGAAATGAAAAATTGTTTAGTTTCCTAATACACTATACAGTTCTAATGCATGAAGGGGGGGGAGGGAGTCAAGCTCTCCCCTTTTATCGTATTCCAGAATAATTCACCATTTACATAGCTTAGTAGAACCAAACATTGTATATAATTTTTCTAGTATAATGACATTATACTTAAATATTTGCTAGCAAAATTTTCATTATAAAGCTCCTCTATTTTCATTAAATAGATTCTATAAAATTAAGACCAGGATATTTAAGTTAACATTTGTACACAGTTTAAATTAGAGGATAAAACATTTACCAATTTCAGACATTTTTGGTATTATAACAAACTGCATTTGTGAAAAGTGGGCTGTGCAGATAATAGCTCCATAATGGAGACCAATTTGCTCTTGGTATTTAAAGGCCAAGAAAGCACATAATTTCTGCTACTTATTAATTCATGACACAGGCTGCAAGCTTGTCATGAAAGTCAGATTCCATGACTTTCCAGGACTTCTGCAGTGGCCAGTGCAGTCTCAAGTTACTGCATCCTGCTTCCCAAGCCGTTTGGGTGTAGGAGGGGGCTCAGGGCTGAGGGTTAGGGTGAGGGCTTTAGGAGTCCTCTGGTTCTCCCCTAAAAGAGCAACATGTCCCACCCTCTGCTTTTAGGCAAAAGCATAGCCAGGCAGCTCCAAATACTGCTTTCACCTGCAGGCTCCACCTCACAGCTCCCTTTGGCCATGGTTGTCCCCTCCCCTTCCTCTCTAAGCATCCTCAGCAACTCCAGATTCCCCTCCTCTCCAAGTTTTAGTCAGGCTTATATAGTACAAGTCATGAACAGGTCACAAGCCATGATTTTTGTGTTTACTGCCCATAACATCTGTCCCTGGTTTATTAAAAATACACGATTAAAACATAGCCTTAATTAATAATATACAAGTAATCAAGTTCTGTCAACAGACATTTATGTTTATTTTTGAGCATTTGGGGGTTTATTGATTTAAATGTTCACTGTTGTAAGAAATTATGGGGAGTCAGATAATTATTTAATGACAATAGATGCGGAAAATCAAACACATTAATATTTAAAGTTTTAACACAACACAATCAACATTGTATGTCAAAATATACAAGAGTTTGACAAAATGATTAGTAAATTCTCAGGCAGATTTGACTTACTTTGCCTATATGTAAATTTTGATAAATTTGGATGAAAATGTTCTCTCGGTGGTGTATATATGCATGGTGAAATTTGTTGGTTGGCTAATAAACCTTCATATAGTTTATAAAGGACTAGCTACAAGTGTTGTCCTTGGTGTATGTGAGCTAAGGCACAACTGACTGGAGTAACTGACTGGGTGCTTTGGGACTTGGAGTAACTTGCAAATTTCTGTGATTCTTGGCCTTAAGGGCCACCCATCCCAGAAATACACACACACAGCTGAATGACAAGACAGACCCCAGGGGAACCTTTAACTCTGTGTAAGGCTGCTAACGTGCCTGAAGAGTTTGCACATAGTACATAGTTGAGGAAATCTCTTTAGAATTAATAACCAATTTAGGGTTTGTACCCTATTTTTTCCAAGTTTGCCAGCACTCATGCGCTTAGGCCACCCTTGGGAGCATCCCAAAGTCAATGGGAGTTTTGCTCAGAATACATGAATTCGTACAAAATACTAAATACTCTGGAAAAAGAAATGAGGCCCATGACATCTCAAAATTGGTAACCCTACTTCACTTGTCACTTTTTACCATTTTGTCAAAACTGTAATCTCTGTAATTCAGGTCTTTCATATGTAGAATAGGTATGAAATTGCCACTTTCCCTCGAGTGTTGTAAAGATTACATATTTTTAAATAACCAAGATGTTTGTAAAGAACTAAGATACTATGATGAGAGTACACCACAGAAAAGCTCCAGAAGAAATTAATAATTATGAGTTTAGAGCAGAGTTTGGATGGCATATGGCAAATTGTCCATGAGTTATTCACTCAGTGAGCACCAGGGGTACCTAGATAAGGTGAGTGGGGTGGGAGTCAGGTTCGCACTTCCAGAAGGAGCAAGGTCTCAGGTGGAATGGGCGAGGCTGGGACAGCCAGCTCTCATCGTTGCCCAGAGCTGCCGCGCTGGTTCCCCCACCCCCCAGTAGACCCTGAAATCCACTCAGAATATGAAGCCTTGCCGTGCTCCAGCAGCAATTTAAAGGGCCTGGAGATCTGGCTGCTGTTATTCCTGTATTAGCAGTGCCCTTTTGAACCACCACTCCCCAACGTAACTGCCCCCTTATCGTCAGTAAGCCTAGGGAAAATTGTTCATTCTGTGCACTGAATGAGGTAGGCATCTTATGGTTAAGATAACATACCATCATGTAATTACAGATAGAATCATAGTGAACATGCAAAAGGGGGACCGATTAAGGTTCTATAACCAACACTTAGTTCTGTCATTTCTTAGCTTCCACATACTTGACTTTGCAAACCCAGAGTCCTTTTGGCAAGTTTGCTTTAGATATAATAGTAACAAAGTGTGAAAATGCTAGAATCAGAAGTGCAGGATAATGTCTCACTGAACACAATTTACAACAAATCTACAGTGAACATGCAGTGCTAGTAAAGAGGTATTACAATTCACATGTCCCTGCAAAAAGTACCACCAAAGAACTGCTGTGAGGTTAAGCATGTTGGACACTTCCTGGGCGACAGCAAGCCAAAATGCAAAACTTCGAAGATAAATGTAGGATTTTATTTTTAAATTAGCCAATTCAGGTGTTCAACATATTGATCAAAAGTCCATCCTTTTGAGGGGAGAGGGACAGGAAAAAAGAGCCAAAGAGGTGTAACTAGCCATAGTTATCTTAATGTAGTTCTTTAAAAGATTATGGTGATGTAAATTTTTGCTTTTGAGGCATGAAAAACAAGAAATTAACATTGCTAAAACCTGAGATGCAAGTATTAAGAGTTGTCTACGCATGAAAGTTATTCAACAATAAAGTACAGTATGGCATGAATTTAAAGGGAATCCACTCTGGAAATGGATTAAGCTAATTCAAGGCACCTTTATTCCAAAATAAGAGTGTGCACGTTCAGAGTTATTTCAGAGCTATAGGGTATGTCTACACTACCACCCTAGTTTGAACTAGGGTGGTAATGTAGTCAACCGGAGTTGCAAATGAAGCCCGGGATTTGAATACGAGGAGTACAGGTAGTTCGGAATAGGAAGCCTAGTCCGAACTACCTAGTTCATGCCGCGTGTAGCCGCGGGCACAGAGTCCGAACTAGCGGACATTTAAAAATGGCGGCGCCCGGCAACATGCAAATGAAGCCCGGGAAATTCAAATCCCAGGCTTCATTTGCAACTCCAGTTGACTACATTACCACCCTAGTTCGAACTAAGGTGGTAGTGTAGACATACCCATAGCTATTTTAGTATACCTTCAAATGTAGCCAAGCCTTGAGATTTTTCTTTCCTATTACATAACATAAATTTACAGAAATAAGGTGTATTTCTTTCACTTAATATTCATAGATGTTAACTGACTAATAAGGGTAAGTTAAGTGTCTTCAAGATAAATTCAGTCATGAAATAACAGTTAAAGAATCCAAAAATTAAGCATTCCATGATACTTTACACAGAGAACTCTGGTTCAATCTTCTTGCAAAGTTGTTTGCCTGAGGAGTTCCGATAACACATATGCATAGTAATTTATTAATATACCGTAGTAAAATGCTTGACGCAAAACAGCTATGTATTTTAGAAAGGCTGCATCAAAGACTTCAAAGGGGGAAAAAAAGCCTCCAGACTGAGCAACCTAAAGCCTGGAGATCTGTATCTTTAGAAAATGTCACGTCTTTTGTTTGAATTGAAGATTATGTCACAAACAAATTTTTTGACTAGGGCAACTTAATATCAGGAAGAATAAGAGTTATGAACTAATTTACAGGGTACTGTATTTAAAAATAATAATAAAAAAAACTCTTTTATATTATGTCCACTAAAGTAAATCAACTTTACAACAGAACATCCCATTTCTGCTATAAACACTAAAACATTCTTAAGTTACTCCTGTGACAACATTCAGCACTTAAAAGCATCAAGCTTTCATCTTTACTAATCAAATCAGAGTACATATAAAATGATGGTACATACCTGATCTACTAACTCTGTCAATTCGATCCAAACTAGGAGAATGTATTCGAATACGAGGGCTACTTTGACAGGAGGATTCGGACCCTAGATCAGTGAAAGAGTCTTCAAGTGTGAAGAAGAGAATTTCTTTTAAACATTTGTGACAGATACTGTGCTGACAAGGGAGGATCAGTGGATGGGTAAATAACTCCTTGCATGCTGGGCAGATGAGCTCTCGTTCAATATTCTTAATTGTAACCTTGAAAAGAAGAGGTGGGGGGAGGGGAATAAGACACGATCAGAAACTGAGCCAATAAGACTCTCATATGCAAACATTCAAAACTGCATTTAAATCTTGCATCAGAAAAAAAAAAAGTGACAAAAAATAAAAGCACAAGAAAGCTAGACTTGCATCTCAGGTCCTCTTGAGAAGGCAAAAACATAAAACAAAGCAATTTTTAGATTAATCATAAAGTTCCTTTCTTTTGGCTCCATAGTTCACTTTCTAAAAAAGGGCCCAAAATCATAAAACCAGGTTCCCTTTCTACATTCCTAAAACCACAGATTAGATTCAAGACTTTAAATTGTAATTTCTGTCACCACAAGTACTATGTTTTATTATGCAAAGGGAGTGCAAACAGTAAATAATACATAAAGCAAAAGTGAAACTGTCTAAAATCAAAATCTTATTTCTACTTCTCCTTCCTTGCACAATAATCTGCATTAGAGTTGTACATGACTCTTTAAAAGTAATAATCCTGAAAACATAATATAAATTTGTGTAAGGCTTTTTTTTAAAAAAAATATCAAAGCCATGTATTTTGCTTTTACTACCTGAAAGTATGGCTTTACCAGAAATAACTATAATCAATTGCATTTTTCCATTTATTTCAGTATATTTAGTTACAAAAACTTCTTCCATGAGAGATTCAAGTTCTCAATAAGCACCTCTGGAAAAAAAAAAAAAACACTATTCCTCCCGCATCCGCTTAAGTTTGCTATTGTCTAGCGTGCACTCAGTTTGGTTTCTCCTTCTTCCTCACCACGAATACAAGAAAGCACATTGTTCCTAAGGCGGCGGGAGGGAAGATCCCTGTCCCAATTACAGGCCAGTCAAAGTAAATTACAGCCTGGTTGAATGAATTGGGAGACGCGCTCTGCAGCGCCCTAGGGGCAGTGCTTTGTGAGCTGGGTGGGGTGCGAGGGCGCTTGGCTGCTAAAGACGCAGTGAGCAATGGGAAACCTTTTTAGTTACCCCAAGGGCTGCTCCTGCCCACCACCTCCCCCCTCCCCCGCGGGGTTTCTGGAGGGGATCGCGCCGCTGGCAGCCGGGGGCGCCGCAGGGCAGCTGGGCAGGGGCCGCAGCCTGACAGCTCCTGCTCGGGCAGCGCCCGGACGGGAAGCGCAGCAGCATGAGTCTGCAGAACGCAGGGAGCGCGCTGCCGCCGGGGGCTGGGGCCACAGGGCAGAGCCGCCCGGGGGGCTGAGCCGCGCTCAAGGCAGGAAGTTTGGGGCTGGCCGGGGG